GAACATAACTTCTTCTGGAAATGCTGGAATTTCAAGTTATAAATGTTCAAAGACATGTCCATGAAACTAAAGCACTCAGCAAATTCTGGACACTTTCAAGACAGAGTTTGGTCAGAACTTCTGGGCCAATTTTCATAAAGGTTCAGTCAAAGTTTGCAAGGGTAATTCAAAGTGGGTTAGAAAGCGTGCTACAAGCCTCTTGGAAAGTCTGAGAGTTCCTTCAGAACATGCTGGGGCAAGGAGATACAAGGATCAGAAGTTGGATGTTTATTCTAAATTATGCTGAAGTTGAACCTCTGACCCAGAATTAAGCAATGATGCAAAATTTCACGTTGCAGGATTTCTGTTTTGATTAATCTCATCATCATTTAATGCTCACAACCACTTTTGGGTTTTTGTTCAAAGGATTTCCCCACGTGTTGCATAAAAGTACCATTACTGTCTTGGAAAAAAAACTCTTGTGCAAGAGTGTGTTGGGCCCATGCGTTGCTTTTGCTTTTGAGGTTACCTTTCCTTAATTTCTGCTTATAATTCCAGCTTAGGCGCTGCTAGAGCTACTAACCACCATACTTGCTTCAAGAACAAGGCATCACCCTAGCATGTGATGGTTGTACTCTCCAAGCTACAAGATCTTTGCCTATAAATTGAGAGCCATTGGCAAAGGTAAAAAGGGGGTCGAAAAAATTGAGAAAAGAAAAAGCCTTGAACCCCTGCTAAAATTCCAAGAGTCCAAAGTTGCAAACACAAAATACAAAACCTATTAACTTTTGATTGCATTCAAACTTCATTTGTTCTCAAGTGTTTCTTGACCAAAACCATCCACACGGTTTCTGATTCACATATTAGAAGTTATCCTAACTTCCGTGTTCATACTGTAATACACTCTCCATCCACCTCCACCTCAAAGAAGTCAGAACATTACCCCTTGGTTGTTCCAGAAGTTGAAAACTTCCAGCCTGCTGAGCACGTGAAGAAGCTGCTCAGAACATCACCAGAGTTCAGGACCAAACTCCAGTTCACAGAGTCTTTTCCAGCTGCAAGGTAAGCTTCTACTGACTCCCATCATATTACTTAGGCATTATCAGATTTGCATGTTCAAAAATACAATGTAGACATAATGTTTCTGAGGCTGTGCGTATTCTGAGGTTTCACATATTTGTATGCCTAAGTAAGGAGTAAATTAGTTCAGAACTTCTTAAGGATATTAGAATTAGAAAATGCATGCTTGCCTAAGATTTATAGTTATGATACCTCTTGTTTTTGAAACACTTTGAAACCAGCCATAATTGTTATATGCACATCTTCTGTTTTGCTAGGAAATGATTAAGTTGCAGATGTTCTGACTAGCATGGAGAGGGAGACCAAGTTCTGCCAGTGGTATCAGAACTTCTGAAATCTTCTTTGTTCCCAGCAGACCCATAACTTCTGACTTTACCTTTTTTTTTACTAATATGATCTCTGTTTTGCAGCACGCCAGAGTCAGAACTTCTGATCTCTTTTAGTCAGCAGTATGCTGATTCTATCTTCTTTTCCCTCACTATTTTTGCTATCACTTCTTATTGCATTAATCAAAAACACAAAAATAAAACATTTTTCATTTTTACATGTTTTACTTTATTTCTTAAAACAAAAAGATCAAAAAATATTTTCTTAAACCAAACTTATCTCTTTTCTAAAACAAAACAAGTTCATTTCACATTTTCTTGTACATTCTTATTCATTCAATATGGTTGTAATAGTAACTTAGGATTTAATTTTATTTGCAATCCCAATTCACAATTTGTATACCCCCCCCCCTTCCCACAAGTATTGTAATAGCGTAGTAACTTTAAATTCCGTAATTTATCGCTTTCTATACAACTGCTAGTAATTAGGGTTTGTATGGAAAGACTAAAACCAATACTTATAAAATCCTAATTCAAGACAAAATCAAGCATGAAAACAATACACTTGCACACAATTACCCCTAGGGTTATCCCACTTGGTTTCCTTATATAAAATGACCATATTACGCATGTAAGGTATGTTATCCAAAAACAAGCAAAAATACAAGATCATAGACCCTCGATGACGCTATCTAAGTTTCCTTTCAAAATGATCTTAGCCCCTAAAGAAAAATGCTAAGATACCTTGCAATATTTCTAATCATGGTTATATGATGACCCACGCCGGTCCCATTTACATCCAAAGATAGGGTTGTTTACCAAATCAATGGTAAGACAACAATGTCAAATGAGAAGAAAATGAACAAGAAAGACATTTGAGTAGGTAGATTGCTCCTAATTACTTGCTCCATTTCAAAGCAAACATCCTTGCTATTCTCAAAACAATCATATACACTTTCAAACATCTTGCAAAATTGAAAACATTTTCAAAAGATCAAACATCTTTGTGTACATTCTTACGAACGAGAATTATTACAAAGATTGCCTAGACAAAGGCCTTTTTACAAAATACTTTCAAAAACCACACAAAGCATAATTTCAAACAAAAGCAAGTGATCTAGCAAGTAACTAAGAGCCCATGGAAAACCATGGATAAAAAGGATGTTAATACCTTCCCTTTTTATAATCTACCCCCCCCCCCCCCGAACCCAAGAAACAATCTCAAAGGTCTTTCCTGTGCTTTTTCACCTTTCCTTTTAGATAAAAGAAAAGTCGGTGACGACTCTTGCTAAACCGCAACATTTGCGATAAAACACAAAACCCTCAAGTCAGTTCTCCCACCGTACCACAAAAATAGCGACTCTGCTGGGGATAATTCTAAAAGTGGGGTTACCTTAGGGATTAGATCACATTTACTTGCTTACATTGTTTGACTTGTATGATTTACATTATGATTCTTTCTTTGGATTTGAATCCTCCACCCGGATTGGGATACATTATAGGTAAGTAGAAATACGTTATGGAAACTATGCGGGGTATACCAACATGGTCTAAATAATAACTATGTTAGTGCGACATATTTGTGGGTACCGGTAGACTTTGAGTTAATCAAAGAGAATACGGGGCCGCTGAGTGATGTCATAAAGCACTAATGAACTTTTAGAACCTTTACTTGACCAACTTGGCCTTTAGGTTGTAGTGAGATCACCGGCTTTGGTACAGTCCAAAGTTGGTAGATACTCGATACTACACTCATTGAGGTTTGGTTTCTTAGGATATTTCGGTCACTATTAAAGAGGCTTGTGCTGAAACAATGACCAAGGAAACAAATCAATGATATTGAGCTCCTTAGAACCCGGTTACTATTACTAGGACAGGTTTAAGCCAACTAAACTTCAAGAGGGTACTTACCTATAAAACCCCATGCAAGCCTAAACCTAAGGACTTATTTGCTTTGTTTGTATATGCATACTTGTACATAACACCATGAACATCATAAACATCGTATACATCCACTAACCATTTCAAGGATTTCTGGATTCATCTTTGTTCTTGTTTTGTAGGTTATGGATTCACTTCGCATGAAAACTATTCAAGTCAGCCTTGTGAGAATCCCTCCACAACTTAAGGAGCTAGTTTCAAGGATTCCGTGAAACTCTCTGTTCACTGAGATACATGTTCGTCTACTAAACTTGGTCACCTCCAACACAGATGAGGACATGATGAAAGTGCTTTTTCAGTTCTTTGATCCTTTACACCATTGCTTTACCTTTCCCGACTATCAACTTGTGCCTACTTTGGAAGAATTATCCCAACTCTTGAGGATTCCCATTCTCAATCAACTACCCTTAAACGGTACGGAAAGAGATCCAAAGCCAAAAGACATTGCTCAAGCTTTACACTTGCACTCATCTGATATCAGAACTCATTGGGAAACAAGGAGCGGTGTGAAAGGTTTCCTAGCAAAGTTCCTGTTTGAGAAAGCCCAAAGCTGTTGGAATTCCTTGGACTTGAAAGCCTTTGAGGAAATTCTGGCTCTCATCATCTATGGTATGGTTTTGTTTCCAAATCCTGACCAGCTCATAGATTTCAACGCCGTCAAAATCTTCATATCCCGCAACCCGGTGCCTACATTTCTAGGAGATATCCTACACTCTTTTCACACTCGCACAATGAGGAAAAGAGGTGTCCTTATGTGTTTCACCCCTCTCTTGGAAAGATGGTTTATTTCTCATCTTCCCCAAACTATATTAAAGAATGAGCAAGGTTCAAGGTGGTCACAAAGGTTAATGACGCTCAAACATTCAGACATTCATTGGTGCTCCTGATCCAAAGAGAATGTTATCATTTTCGACCATTGTGGGGAATTTCCTAATGTCCCTTTACTTGGCATTAGGGGAGGTATCATCTACAACCCATGCTTAGCCTTAAGACGGTTTGGTTACGCCCGAAGGGATGGCCGGCACGAGATGCTGATTCAAGGTTTGGTATTTGACTACGACAAAGACGATCAAGGTCTTCGCCAGAGATTTATTCGAGCTTGGAGGATGTTAAACAAGGTGGATAGCAAGACTTTGGGGCACAATAATTCCATCCCTCTTGAGCCTTACCTCAAATGGGTACGAACTCGCGCTTAGAGTCTTATGATTCCTTACCCCTCCATTCTCCTGATAATCATTGAGCCTGTCATGGAGGGAGATGTTTCATACACTATCCTACATCCTGACATGCCCACATATCTTGAAGACCTACAAAGGGATTGGATACAATTCAAAGGGGAGAGAGACACTTTTGAAGCCCAATTCTACACAAGCGAGAAAAAGCTTTTGGAACTCACTAGGCTACTTCGTGAGGAGCAGACCCTGAATGCCTACATTGCACCAAAGAGGATACGCACTACCTTTCTATCTTAGAGTTTTTGTGTTATTTTGCCCAAGGGGCATTGACGTACTCAAAGCTTTATCTTATTAATATAACGTGTGTTTACTTTTTGTCTAAAACAAATTTTAATCTTTAAAATCCTTGAAAACATTGCATATGCGTATACCATTCATCATAACATAAGCAGGTTTTCGCAACAAGTCTCCTCATCTCTCTACTGTTTATTTCAGTAAGATGGATCTCGAGCAAACAGTGAAAGACCTCCAAGCTCAGAATACACAGTTTCAACAGTTGCTCTTGACCCTAGCCAAGGGAAAAGAAGAATTGAAGACTTTGCTGGCTAAAGAGAGGAAAAAGAAGACAAAGAAGGTAACCAGAGTCTTAAACATGGGAAGAAGATTTCATGGGCAGACAAGAAGGACTTTGGACTTTGCAACAACATCTGGTGAAAGAGACAACCAAGATGGTAAAGTCAAGGAAACAGTTGTCCTGACAGAATCGGAGGAGGAAGAGGAAGAAGAGGACTACTCTGAAGAACAATACCCTTCAGTTGATGACAAGTATAAACATCTCGAAGAGCGTTTCAGTGTGATGGAAATCCAAAAGGTGTCTGGCTTGGACTTTGAGGAATTGGGTTTGGCATCAGGGATTGTGATTCCTCCAAAATTCAAAGCACCTGCGTTTGCTAAATATGACGGAGTTTCATGCCCTAAAATGCATCTTCGGTCATATGTGAGGAAAATCCAACCCCACACCGCCGATAAAGACTTATGGGTGCACTTCTTCCCAGACAGACTGTCTGGAACTCAACTTGACTAGTTTTACCAACTAGAAAGAGCCAACGTTCATAATTTGGAAGATCTTGCTGCAGCTTTCTACAAACAATATCAGTACAATGTTGATCTGGCGCCCACCCGTACTGAACTCCAAAGTATGGTTGTGGCTTCCAATGAGGGTTTCAAAGACTATGCGCAAAAATGGAGAGATTTGGCTGGAAGAGTTCAACCCCCTCTATCCGAGAGAGAATTGGTAGACATGTTATTGGGCACCTTGTCTGGTCCCTTCTTCAATCATTTAATCAGAAGTTCATCTGTCGGTTTTACTGAACTAATATTGACTGGAGAAAGGGTAGAAGTTGGTATAAAGAGTGGAAAGATTCAGAAAGACACATCTTCTTGTACAGCTGTAAGAAAGCCTTTCATCAGAAAGAAAGAGGTGGCTGTCGTATACCCGCAGAGAAACCAAGATAGGGGCGAGTGCTGACCAATGGTAGGGGCTGTTATGATCCCAAAGCCTGCATCCGATCAACAAAGAAATAATCAGCCAAGGATAGAAAGGTCAGTCAGGTAGTTCACCAGAATCAATATGACCCCGTCTCAAGTATTACCACATCTACTCAGATCCAACTTGGTGACCTTGAAAGAAGCTCCGAAAAACCCCAATACAACATCTCCTCATTATCATCCCAATGCCTATTGCGCATATCACTCTGAAAGTCCTGGTCACGATACTAATAATTGTTGGGCTCTAAAGAACAAAATACAAGACCTCATTGAAGCAAAAGAAATTGAGTTTGATGCGCTTGAAAAGCCAAATGTCATTTCTGCCCCTATGCCCAGACATGGCCACAATACTAATGCCATTGAAGAAGGATTGTTTGTTACTTCAATTGATGAACTCATGACCCCACTTCTGACTATTAAAATGAATCTGTTGAATGTCGGTGTGTTCCCGGGCTATGGTGAAGTTTGCCATCTCTGTTTGTCCTTCCCAACCGGCTGTCCTTTGTTGAAAATAGGCGTTAAATGCCTAATAGATAACAAAGAAATTTTGTTTGAAAAGACTTATGTTCCACATATCCCTTTTGAAGATGTTTCTATCATTACCATTTCCTCCAATTCTTCCAGGGTCTCCACCAAAAGACCCGTTAGAATTACATCAGCTCCAAAAGCAACTCCTTTAATAATCACAATGCCTGGACCGGTCCCATATGCATCGGACAAAACCATACAATGGAATTATGGAGGGGATGTATATTACCATGGTATCAAGCAGGACTGGCCAACCGCCGAAGATTCAAGCTTCGAGAAAGTTAACTCCGACATCAGTAATATTGTGGGAACTAGCAAAATTACCCGAAGTGGTAGGATCTTTTCTCCAGAAATTGCTCCCCCAAAAGAAGCTTCTGGACCCGTAACCATCCCTGTGACTGCTCCAAAGGTCACCCCCACACCCATAATCATCTATGCAAATACTCCAATTGACAAAGTTGTTACAACCCCTGTAATCATTCCAACTGACACTCCTGCTGCTAAATTAACCGAGACTCGAGGAAAAGGTGCTATGATTGAGCTTGTCCGGATGAAGGCTCAGTCATTAACTATCCCTAATACCTCCAAGAAAGAAATGGATGAGATCCTAAAAATTATAAAGAGAAGCGACTACGATGTAGTTAAGCAACTGGGGCAAACTCCCTCTGAAATCTCTATGCTGGCATTACTACTATGTTTCGAGGCACATGCAAAAGCCTTGGTGAAGTTCTTAAAAACTTCCCATGTACCTCAAGAGACATCTGCCGATCAGTTTCAAGACTGCGTAGCCAGCCTAACTACGGACAATGGTTTAGGTTTCTTAGATGCTGATCTAACACCGAGGGGAAGGAAGCATAATGAGGCATTACATGTCTTAGTGAAACGTAGGGGCACAACACTGGCGCATGTTTTGATGGACATTGGCTCATCTCTGAATGTATTACCCAAAAAAGCTATTGACAGACTTGACTGTGAGGGGTTGACTTTGAAGCCAAGCAACATAGTGGTAAGGGCTTTTAACGGCTCGAAGAGGATGGTACATGGGGAGGTAGACATTCCCATAAAGGTTGGAACCCAAACCTTCAATTCAACTTTTTATGTGATGGACATCCGCCCTTCATACTCCTGCTTGCTAGGCTGACCATGGATCCACAATGTTAGTGCTGTCACTTCTATGTTGCACCAAATGCTGAAGTATCCAGTTCAAGGGAAGATTATCATCGTTCATGGAGAGGAAGAATACATGATCATCCATCTCAATTCCTTCAGATATATGGAATTAGATGGTGAATTCATTGAAACTCCATTTCAACACTTTGAAGAGGTCCCCCAAGATGTGGCAGTGACCAAGGTTGTGTCTCAGGTTCCCAAGGTTACAAGGCCTCCGCTCGGGATGTCGTCATTGAAGGATTCCAAAGCAGTAGTAGAAGAAGGTGGATGCACTATCTGGGGGCAACTCCCAGATATCCCATATAAGTCTGAAAAGTTTGGCCTGGGTTTCACTTTAAGCGCTCAAAAGGTTATACGCCGTGCTCGTGCTAGAGGACCACCCCTGAAGATCAGCAACCATGAAGTCAACGCAGTAGAAGATGGTGAAGATGACTGCAACCTAGAGGATTGGATCTTCCCGACTGCCCATGGAGGGCTCAACAATTGGGAGGCTAGAGACTCCGTCTCAATCACTTTTATCCCTCAGTAATTTGTCTTTACATTTTGTCGGATCTGTAATATTCAAAACAATTCACACTCTTAAAACCTTGTGTCTTACCCGAGGCACAATGGTCCATTTGTAAGGGTTATTATCTCATTTTTCATATGTCATCAATGAATCATGGACGTTTTCGCATACAACTTTTGTGCTTATTGTTTTTCTTTTACATTTTACTTTCTTTCAAAGATAGCTATACCCTTACACACACCCACACTCACAATGCAGGTATACATCCATTCGGGATCCCATGGGTAACGATACTGCTATGGCCTTTTGTGACTCTGAGAATCTAATCTACCAAGCCGAAGATGAAGGTGAGGAAGATTGTGAAGTACCAGGGGAACTTGCCAGACTACTACAACAAGAAGAAAGAACCATTCAACCTCACGAGGAACTCGTAGATACCATCAACCTAGGTATCGAAGAAGACAAGAAAGAGGTCAAGGTGGGTGCTAATCTGGAACCCAGTATCAAGGAGCATCCGATTTAGCTATTACACGATTATGTCGAAGTCTTTTCCTGGTCGTATGAAGATATGCCAGGACTTGATAAAGATATTTTGGTACATCGTCTGCCTACAAGAGAGGATTGTCCACCAGTAAAGCAAAAGGTTCTCCGCATGAGGCCTGATATGTCAGAAAAGATAAAAGTAGAGGTCATGAAGCAATTCAACGCTGGATTCTTGGCTGTTGTTGTACCCAAAAAATTTCCCTCCAATATTTCTCAATACATGACAAGTGAGGTCCTTAAATTGCTCAAGGAAGTCCAAGAGTTGACCAGACAAACTCTCTCCTAAGGCAGTCTACCTCAAATTAGGGTTTCAGTTTGCATCAAGATGTTTAATTCCAAAGGATCCCAAATGACCACCATTGTCCTAATATGTTCTCAAGATCATCCATGTCAAGTTTCAAGCCTTGCAGAGGAAATTTGCTCAGTCAAATGCTCAAAGACCTGAAAATCGACTGTGCTAGGGCAAAAGTCAACTGTGGCCCACATACAGTCAAACTTCAAGATTTTTGGCCATCATCCTCATTTTGAAGTATTATTCATCATTTGATCAAGGGTTGATCATGATTCATCAAGGATTTCTCACAATTCATCAAAACCCAAAAGTTGCTAAATTAGGGTTTTTTAGGAAAAGTCAACCCAACTTTGACCAAGAATAACTTTCTCATACTTTATCAAAAATGACCCATCCAAAGCTCATTTTGAAGAGGATTTAATTCTCTACAATCCATCTTCAGCTCCCAAGATCAAAATATGCACTCACAAGAAGATATGAATTTGGACATCATAGGTCATTTTGAAAAGTCAACAAAAACAAATTTTGGATCAAAGCTTCATACATGAACATGGAAGACTCAATTGAGATGAGACCAAAAGGGTTGCTTATAGGACATGTTAAGCTTTCTAAAAAGTCCAAGAACACATCTCTAGGGTCAAAATTAAGAGAGTTATGCATTGGCAAAGTTGGCCCTTTTTGCAAAATTGCCAAAAGTCAAAAGTGGCCAAAATTGCATTTTTTGCTAAATAGGCCCAACTTTTTTATGCTTGCACTGAGTTTGTAACATGACCCACGACCCATGATCCGTTCCATTTGTCATTATTTTATTTTTATCACTTATTTTGATTTTATTTCAATTAAATCAAATAAAATCAAAATAAAATCATGAAAATATCAAAAACTAATCAAAGCTTGAGATTTTGTGCATGTTTAGGTCTATTATACAGCTGGAGATGGAATCAAATCGTGCAAGTTTCATTTGGACACAAAAAGATTTCATTTTGGCTTGATTTGGAAAGATTTTGTACAATGATCATATTATGATTCAATAATCATAATTGGAGAGATTTGATACAAGTTTGTAATCCTAATTCCTTCTAGGGTACATAAGGAACATGTTCAGATCAAAAACAGGGGGATTAGAGGCATGAGAAATAGAAAGCAAACTTGCAAAAATTCAAAAAATGTTGTGAATCAATTTCCAAGTTTCAGGCCTTCTCAATCCCTTCCAACCATCTCAATCACTTGCTGGATATCCTTGGACCATATTACAACCATTAACAAGCATTCTCGCGCCCTGAAACACACTGTAAGAGTCGCATGGTATCCATGTTTTCTTGATTTCGAATCCATTAATTCTGGCATCTTTAGCATGAATAATTGACATATTCTTAATCCTTGAGTCATTTGCAAACTAATGGTTACATTTAATTTCATTTTTCTAACTGTACAGCAAGATGCCATAGTTAGGGTTTTAGTTTCGTTTTTAGGGTTTTTGTGTACAGGTACAATT